ACAGACATTTCGCTATGCGCCTACGTAGTTGAATGATGCATATGCAGAATATGTTCATTTTGAATTTGTTCTCTCTATCTATAAATCCTGGGTATGACGATAAACTACATCCGGCAGCATGGCATCTAATCGGGAGTTTGGAGGTTTTCAGGTGCCTCTGAATTGCAATTGTTCCCAAGTTCCACCTGAGCCGGAGTGGTAGCACCTGTTAGGGTCCTGGCTATAGGCAAATAGTGAAGCACTAAGAAAAAAGAAAACACTACGAAAATATAAAAATATATTTTTATAGTAAAATGACCAACAATACATTTGATCTGTAGGTGAAGATTTAGATTATAGCATTAAATAACCCTTAGATGCTGATATGCCGCTAAGCAAAACCAACCAAAAACCAACCTTCATTAGAGTCTATACAGCCTAATAGAAGGATTGTTTTCATCGCTGTTCAGATAAATTTAATTTTGATTTCAGATGATAGATTTTACTTCTAAACTGTTTTCATCTTTCATAGTGCTACTCATTTTTTTTTTCGATTCTGATATCTATGCTACAATGAATACATCCAGGAGCCAAGATTTAGAAAGTCATCGACTTGCTCAAGAGTGTCGCCTTCAGTTGAATCTCAGTCGGCTTTCTCTGGATTTTACAGTAAGGTAAAAATTAAATAGGCACCAATATTGAACTGTTAAGGATCCAGATAACAAATACATTTCGATGTCAGAAGGATTAATATAGGAACATTTATTTATTTTCATGAATGAAATAGGCAAATAGAATTTTATGGCTATATTAACTCTGATGAAGTCGATAAAAAGAATGTCAGTCTTCTTTTTATCCGCGGTTTCGATCAGAATATTAACGTTTAAAATAAAAAGCTCAATCAATTTAGGGAAGAGTCAGTTTGAACAGAGAGACATGGATATGTGAGTCGCATTTGTAGTGGTCTATATTACGTGTCGTTTACACAAGTACGCAATCAAAAATATATATTTAATAAAATGAGGACAGATGAGTATGAAATGTTTCTAATCCTGTAAACCTAGTTTTAATTTTAGATAGAATATTTTTTTTTTTTTGTTTATTTTTCCTGGTACCCTCTCGCATCCGAGCATCGGTATGGCCATCCTTTCTCCCTGTTCCCGTTCATTTCCCTGGTGTCGGTGGTGGAGATGGCTCTGAATCAACGAGAGTTTCACGATGGCATTCGCGTGGAGAAGCTCACCTATGTAGAACCACTCATGGCAGTAAGGTCGGAGAGAAAAGACCAGACTGAACGACAAGCCTCACAAGAAGCCAATGGCGGAATTGGCAAAGATTTACACGATCTTAACGACCAAATCAGCGAAAGAGGGCAGCGACAGTCATCGACTTGCTTAAGGGTGTCGCTTGCAGCCGAGTCTAGGTCGGCTTTCTCTTGATTTTACAGTAAGGCAAAAATTAAACAAGCAACAATCCTGAATACATTACGACGTCAGAACGATTTAGTATAGGCACATTGAATGCCGTTAAAGAAAATCGGCCAAACTAAACCCTCTATAAAATATGACATTAAATAACCCAACTTAGGTGGACATCTTGTAAAATCTAACGACCTAAAATAGTGTGTGAAACAAAAGTTATAGAAAAATCATCAATAAATTGAAATATTCGAAATTATGACGTCCTTGTGAATGCGATTCGGTATTTCGAAAAATGTCTACTGTTTATCTTAGCCGCCTATTTTCGATAGAATTAATTCCGTCTTATATAGAATTCGTAAAAAATAAGTTATTTATTTTTCCTGCGTGCATATCGGGAAGTGTGGAATTTTCAAGTAAGTCTTTTTTCTTTTTTCTACTTAGATATTCGCGTATATATCTATACATGACGCGTTCTCTGTCCGTTCAAAACGTGAGTTTCTTGTGTAGAATTTGTCGACAGATCTAAAGAAAACAAAATATCAAGAGAAAAGTTCCAAAGATTCCAACTACGAATTGGAAATGTCAAAACCAAAGAAGTACAGAAATTTAAATATATGCGAAGTGTTTTAACAGAAAATGGAAAACTTGGCACCGAAATCCGAAGGTGCATTGAATTAGCGAAAAATGCCTTCCAAATATTAAACAAAGCACTAAGAAACAATAATTTCGTTAGAAACAAAGGAAAAAAAATAATGAACTGCAATACAATATCAATCTTCTTATGTAGCATTGATTGGTTGATTCATTTATTTTTTACTGCTTATCAACCCTTTGCAGCTTATTTAAAACCATAAAATATTTTAGATTCCAAGAATTTATTTTTCTGGAAATAATAATGATTTAGTGATCTTCCATTTAGATAATAAAGATTTAATGATCTTATTAATTAACCCATAGCTGGGGGGGAGAAGATATGGAGTCGTACCTTTCCCAAGTGTATTTGCGCGTAAGTGAATATAACGGACCCAACTGCATTTGGATTTCGATTCTTCGATTAATGATTTCAAGCTATTATCCATTACACCACCCGCACATCCAAACTGGTATTCCGAAGCGATCACCTATCTAGATACTGACCAGGCTCGGCGTTGCTTAACTTCGGTGATCGCAGAGGAACCGATGTTTCAACGTGGTATAGCCGTAAGTATATGGCAGTGAATACTGGAAAATTACCACACCGACGAAGTGAAAAGTTATGGCACCAGAAGTGTCGTTCAGCTTCAAATTGACATATAAATTATAAATTACCGCCTTAACATTTGAGAGTGGGTTGCTAAACGTCATTACGAAATGTATTTCAACATTCAGTTGGGATGTAAAACAAGCCGTAAATTGCCAGTAATTAATTTTTCATTAGTATTCTTTTATGTCGATTACAATTGATTGTTATCACTTTTAGTCCTACAAAATTCTATGATATATTATACGTGTTATGATATTAACTGAAAATTTTCAGGTTCTTTAATCACAGAGTACAACAAAAATACATCCTACATTTTAAACTATAAACTTTTATGTTGCTCGCTAACGTCGAAATTTTTAAGGCACATAATGAGGAAAGAAGGCTTGGAAAATTTTATACTCACAGGGAAGTTTGAAAGCAAGTGTGAGAGAAGAAATCGACGCGTAGCGAACTTCAGTCAATGGATAGTGCAACAAAATTTAAGAGAGAAAACAAAAAGACAACATTTATTAAGAGCTACAAAGGACAGGAAATCGTGGAGAACCATGATTAAGAGATTGATGGACAAGTTCACCAATCCTGTTAGACAATTTTTAATTCTAGATAGAATAATATAAATGGTACCAACATGAAGGAAATATATTTCGCTTCCAAATTCTTCTTTAAGCGCCGTTCCCTCTTAGGATGTAGGCGATCATGGCTCTCCACAACTTCATGTCCCCTGTAGCTCTTAATAACTTCTGTCTTTCTTTTATTTCACCTAAATCCTGTTTCGTCATCCATTTATTCAAGCTCACTATGTATGACATATACTGTTTTCTTCTGTTTCCCTTGCCTTCAATCTGACCTGTGAGTATCAGATTCTCCAAGCGCTCTTTCCTCATTATGCACCCCAGAAACCTCAACTGCCGATTCCAGATGTTAAGTATGAGTTTCAATTTTGTTTCCATTTTCTCTAAAAGTTTAATGTTGCTTACATGTTCAGTCCATATTATTCTCAGCATCCTTCTGTAGAACCCCATTTCTGTTTCTTCAAGTCTTCTCTTCATTGTCCAACACTCACTGCCATATACTGGTATGACGTAACAATGCAATGGATAGCGGCTCGGATTGAGGAATCGGAGAGCCGGATTCGAAATCCAATCGAATCCATTACATTCACTTACGTGCTAAATACCCTTGGGAAAGGTATGAGTCCTCTTCTACCCCCCCCCACCAGCTATGGGTAAATAGCAGGACAGACTGGGTTCTATAGCCTTGGATGGCAGCTGGTCTACAGCAGAAAGAAATGGCAACCTACTGTGGGAAAAATCTGCCTCGTCAGTCATGTATCGAAAGATACATGATCGCCTAAGCGTGTATCCCGCATGGCAGATAATTGACTCTTTCTCTTTTCTTTGTTTCTAGACAAAGCTTTTCTATTTCCTAATACACTGCTTAGACTATTCCAATTCGCCATCGGATCTCAATGTCACAGATTCTGTCTTCTGTTAAAACACTTACTAGATATTAAAATTGTTGTGTTGTTTCATTTTGGTATCTCCATTTTGCCCTTCAAACTTTGAGTTCATCCTTTTTCTAACACCTATGCATTCTGTCTTCTTACAGTTGATGTTTAATTCTTTCTTTGTGCTTTCTTTCATTATCTTCTGTAGGAGTTTTTGTAGCTTTCTTTCTATGTCTGCTATCAACGCTGTGTCATTTGTATATCTTATGTTGTGTAAGATTGTGGCCGCCAATAATGAATCCTGGTAGAACTTCTAATTCACTCAGTATCACCTCAATGTACAGGTTGAATAAGTCCGGTAAGAAGATGCATCCTTGTCTTATACTCCTTTCTATTTTTATATGTCTGCGGAGGTCATTTTCTGTCCGTATGCAGGCGATTCCCTGCTAGTATAGGTTCTTGATTACAAGGATTAAAAAAGTAATCTAATCCTATAAGACAAGTTTTCATTCTAGATAGAATTATAACACTGTTAGCAGTGAAGTAAATTTATTTCTTTTCATAATGGTTGATTGATAAGCAAGGTGTACAACCATATAAAACAAATTTTATTTCCAGATAAAATAATGAAACTGTTATGAAAATTAAGTCAATAAATACATATTCATAATTATGATGACAGCGATGTTAGTCCTCGAATTTAAAAAAAAAAACATCAAAAGATTTTGACATGATAGAATAACGCATTTTGAAATCATTTTTTCTTCTTTTTTTTCTCTCCAGAAAGAAACTTTCTGGATTACTTTTCATCGAGGTGCACACCGTTACATAAATTTCAGCATCGGATGAACAATTTTGACCTTTCAACACCTTTCAGTTTCAGGAACTAGCTGACGTCTGGTGGCATCAAATCGGATACAACAACTGTGAATTTCAGGCTTCTCCCCATTTTTGCTCTCCGTCGAGTGTGACTTCGTCTTGTCTTGTTCCATGCAAGACACCATACTCTTTCCGGCCTTATTCTGTGTATGCCTTGAAGACTCGTACCGAATGAATTATTTATTTCAAATTATTAAAAATAAATAAATAAAACAAAATTTAAAGTTTGTTACAATCTGATTTCTATAATGATTAATTTAAAGCAAAAAAGAAAATAATGATAATAACAAAACAAATGTCCAGTCGGTTTTGTTTTGTTTATTTATATCTTGCTCTGTGACAAAATTATTTTGTGGTGGTGCCGGATAAACTGTTAAATATCTTAACGTAGAAATTTATCAAATTTGCTTATATATTTTCATCCTAACGAATTCTCTCTCTCTCTCTCTCTCACACACACACACACACACACACATATATATATATATATATATATATATATATATATATATATATATATATGCGTATATTTCAGTAGCATATTTTCATTAAGACAGGTTTCGTTAAATAATTTAAGCCTGTTCTGTCTCCTTATTCTCGATAGGATCATTTCAGATTCACGGATAAGGTTTTTTGTGTTGTTATTGAAAGACGAGAGGAAAACACCGTGCTAGTTCATATCGTATTTATTCTCCGAGTACTTTCGACATAGCATAATGTCATCATCAGAGTAAGGTAAGTATTGTAGTGTTCATGGTTATGAAAGACAAAAATTAACTTTCTTATATGTGGGGCCAGGAAAGATATGTCATGGCGTGGCTAACCAGCACCGTTTAAGTATTATGGATACTTCGTAAACATTACAAAATGTGTACAATAGATAGTATTTAAATGTCACTGTTTGTACTAATAGTTCTTTTATTTATTTTTTCCACTAGTCATGTCGGAAAAGCTTTCCACAACATACCTAGTTACCTCCCGTCGTATTCGACGTATGAAGGTCAAGCAGCTCAGTTTCTAGGAACCGATAGCCCAGACACCAGCACATATGATTTGGTTATAGGGATAAAGGTTTTGCGCAGAAACAATCACACTTTTTGAAGGGCTGAATACAGAGACCTGGTGCGCTACTTACCACAAGGTTTCCAAACGACCCTCCGCAGGTTTTGAATTCAGAGTTGCCCTCCTTCTAGCCCAGTTGCCATCCAAGGCTATAGAACTCAGTCTGTCCTGCTATTTACCCATAACTGGGGCGCGGGAGGGAGAAGAAGAGGATTAATGTTTCCCAAGCACGTAAGTGAATGTAATGGATTCGACTAGAATTCGAACTCGACTCTCCGATTCCTCAATCCGAGCGGCTACCTACTGCCTCCCTAACACACACACACACACACACACACACACACACACACACACACACACACACATATATATATGTTTACAGCGATGTTCACGCTCGAGGTGGAGGTTTACGTTTGTTGGCCATTTTTGTGTATCGGAATCGCCTTGAACAAGTTATGTTTACGGTGATCGAGGAGAGATCCTGTTTGGCATCGCTTCCACAGGGCAGTGGTTCGCTGGAAGAAGCTGCTAGTGTTATCATCGATGGAATACAGAGGGAATGTGGGTAGTGTGCTACTAAGTAAGCGTTATGGCTTGTTCTTGCTGTGATGGTTTGACATGACGGGACCATTAAATGTAGCTCGGCCGAGCACTTTCCGTGGAAGTAGCGGTAGAGCAGCAAGAGGCTTGCTGCACCCCCGCCTGTGGGAGATAGGTTGAAGGGTGAAGAATAATTTGTCACCCACAAGGGCTCAGAGACTCTTTTGAAAGGCTGGAAAGTGAGGTCTGGGCAGCACCGCCTGAATATAACAGCAGTACTCTATTTTTGGCCTGATCTGGCTCTTGTAATAAAAGAGGGTATCAAGATGAATCAGGTTCTTACTAGAGCGGTATAGAAAACTGACCAGTTTACCTGCATCCTTAGCAATGTACCTGTTTCACTTGAAATCGTGTGTGAGCTTGAAGCCTAGTCTTTCAAGGTACGGTGCTTCCCCGAGAGGACCTCCGTTCATCCTGATTGGTGGTAGTTCGGGGTCAGATGATGGAATGTAACTAGCTTGGTATGCGAGGCATAGATTCTAATCCACCAGTTTTTGCCCCATTGGTTCGTTGATTAGTCATTAATCCCTGATCATCGAGAGTTTCAGAGGCGCGCCCGTTTATAGTCGTATCATCGGCATAGATGTTTACAAATGATCTGAATATATTCTTAGGCAGATAACTTTATGAAGATCAAAAAGAGGGTTAGTTCGAGGAATGACCCCTAGGGGACGCTTGGATTGAACTCTCGGACTCCAAAGGGCTGGTCATTAATAACTACCTTCAGGGACCTGCCTGTTAGGAAGGATTTTATGATCGAGAAGATTCTTCCGGTGATTCCATGACTGGAGAGCTTGTGTAGTAAGCCTTTGTTCCACTCCTTTTCGAAGACCTTTGAGATATCTAGTGCTATGCTCCTCGGGCTGTGTTTGTCATCAAAAGCCTCACTGATTCTGTGTCATAGTAGTTAAGACATCAGCAGTGGATCGGGCTGACGGAAACTCATACTGCTCGTCACTGAAGAGGTTGTTCT